GCCTGCTGTGTTCATCCAGCCCTGCACCTTGTTGTCTCGGATTCTCCAGCATCTGAAGTTCCTACAATCTCTGATTCAATTTAAACCTAGGGCCTCTAGTTTTTAACTCCTCTACCCTGGGAAAAAGACCTTGGCTATTCATCCTATCCATGCCCCTCATGATTTTATAAACCTCTACATGGTCACCATAATTTATGTGGCTGATCCAGTTCCAGTTCTTACCAAATGACAACATCCAGGAAGTTGATAATGGGCAATGTGGTAATGGAAACATCAAAGAGAGATGGTTAGATTCTCTTTTATTTCAGATGATTGTTGCCTGGCCAGCCTGGTGTAAATGTTAATTGTCACTTCATAGCCTGAATGTTATCCAAATCTTGGGACAAAAGACAACAAGCTCTCACAAACAAGCAGCGAGATAATTGATTAGAAAGTGTAGTTTTATTGAGGGACAATGACTGGTCAGGATACTCTTGCTTGAAGTTGGGGATTACCTGTATTTTTCTGAGGCAGACAACACCTCAGTCTAACCACCATCATGTAAGGTATGCATTTTGTATATACTTTAAATCATTTACTTTAAAATTTATTTCTGGAGACATGGTGTTTTGAAATCAGTATGAGTGTGTGTTCCTGGAGTGCTAATAGGAATTTGTTTGCATTAGGAGAATTTTACAAGCAGACAGAGTAAATCAGCCTGCTTTCAATTAGAATGATCAGGAGTGTTTTGGTTTCAGTTCTCAAATCCTAGTTGAAGTTAGATGTAAAAATACAGTTCTCCTGGAGCAAGGAGTCAGGTCAGAAAGATAAGAACAAGTTACCTCAGTGCAAAGCCTTAGTTTTAAAAGTTCCATATCAGAAGTGTTTGGTTAGAAGCCTGAAGACATTATCTGAAGCCAAGAAAGTGTAAGCTCAGCTATATGAATACTCAAGGAACAGACTATCAAACTCTCAAGACGAGAATTAAAACCCATAGATGGGATAGAGAAGGAAATTCACTCTGGTATTTGAGTACTGTAAACTCAAATGTTGGGATACATGGAACGTTGCATTTTGAAGTGTTTTGAACATTTTCAAATTGGGCAACAATTTGTATATGGAAATACAGTAGCTTGGTTTATTCTTATTTTATCATTTCTTTTGCATAATAAACTGGTTTCATTGTTAAAACCAAATCTGTAGCACTGCATGCTTGTTTTTCGGTGAAAGATCACCTCATCAAATTAAAAGAATGCGATTTGTCAAGTCAAATCTGATTTGTCCAGTAATAACATAGCTGAGATCATAACACCAGTCAACCAAAATTGGCAAACACTGACAGCACGAGTCTCTCTCAGTACTGCTTGAAAGAGTCAGAGGGATATGGTGATATTGTGGTAATGTCACTGGATTAGTTATCCTGAGGCTCAGGCTAATGGTCAAGGTATAAGGGTTCAAATCTCATTGTGGCAGCTGGTAAATTTCACGTCAAACAATGCATCTGGAATGAGAGCTTGGGTGCTGAAGAAAATTGTAAAAACCTACCTGTTCATTAAAACGGGAATCTGCTGTCCTTTCCCTGGTTTGTTGTAGATGTGTCTCCAGACTCACAGCAATGTAGGGTTACTCTTCCTTGCCCTCAAAAACAATCTAGGTAACATATGATAGCTAGCAATGCCCACATTCCAGGAATAAATAAAGAACAAAATGTCAGCCTCAATAATGAGCTAAAAGCTGTGGGATCTGAACACACAACCTCCCTGGCTATCGAGTGCTAAGAAAGGAAAAAAAAATAAGGCGTTCAGTATGTTCACACATAACAGCATCAAAACAAGTTTTACAGCTATATTTGCAAATATTTATTTGTCAGTTTTTGTTGAAAGAGAAAAAAAGTGCTGGTTATCCACAGTGGTTAATATCAATCTTTAAGGCAAGCAAAGCACTGACTAGCAATCCCAACATGCAGTTACAAGTTAAGAAAATGAACGATACAATTAAAATAAAACAATTCAACAAACAGTTTAACAAAGCCAAAATTATAGACTTGAAAGAAAAGCATTGCTACATTCTAGCAGTGCCTACATGACACTAAGCATGACAAAAACTCATCATTCAATATCTCAGAAACATCAAAACCAAACTAGACATTCTGTACATATGCAAAGTAATGTTTAAAAAATACACTGTAATACAGAATAACTGTAGAAAAAAAAAATAACAGGACCATATTTCCGTGATAGCTTTCAACTGATACTGATAAATTGGCCATTGCACTGCAAATGAATAAAAGAGTCTTCCAAAACCAACACCACCCTCATGGCCAGAATCTGCAATTATAGTATTACAGGCAACTGTTTACATGATTCCATTCTGCATATTTTTACAGGTAGTTTCAACCTCAAAATGTTGAAATTGTGACCATATATCAGTACAGCAGGAAGGTGAACAAAAAATGCACATCAAACAAGACTTCTTCTAACAATAAAGGACTGCTTTCAAGACGAATACCATACCAGTTTCCCATTTCAAAGGGATTTAAAGAATCAAATTTCTACAAATGACTAATTAGAGTGTTTCTTATTCACTAGTATTGCTTGATGAGTTTAATTTGAATGATCTTTAAATAGGCTTTCTCAATGTGAAGCTTGAACTGGTTTTATCATGTACTGGATCTAAAAAGTCACACTAAGAAGCAAACTGTCGGCAATCAAACATTACTATCAGTCTACGAGCATGAAACCGCTTGTAGTAGCCAATCAATTTGGGGTGGGGTAGAGTGTGTATGCAAGGGTGAGAGAGAGAAAGAGAGCGAGCGAGAGAGAGAGAGAGAGAAAACAAGAGTGATTGAGACAACCAAAATGCACAGGCTAATACTCTGGGAGAAGTAAAACAGAAACTCAGCAGATACAGCAGCATCTGTGAAGAGAAAGCAGAGTTAACGTTTCAGGTCCAGTGACCCTTCTTCAGATTTACAGCATTTGCAGTTTTTTTGTTTTATCATAATACTCTGGGGACAGTTTCAAATTTCATGATAGCAGCTAATGGAAATCCATCATCCCTTCCCAAACTGGTCTAGATAAGACTACAAAGCCAGAAATATGGGCTGGACTCTTGACTTCCCTCTCCACACAGTTCAAAGACAACAAATACTGGTCCTGCCAGTTATTCAGGTGACCCACAAAATAATTTTATAAAAAGAATCAGGCTGAGACTTTATATTGCTACATTCCCCGCTTATTTTCTCAGCAAAAGATGGATGGGTGGAACAAGGAGATTTCAAAATCCAAATTATATAGCCTTTTCAAAAACAACAGCCATTAACCAGATTGTGATGAGCACTGCAGTGTCCAGCTATGCTCACAAGGAGGGCACAAGGTATGCATTTTCAAAAATAGCTTAATGGAGCTGTTAAGACCAGTATTTCTTTTGCTGTAAAGTACTCCTGTCACCAGAAGAAAGACCTCTAAACCTTACACTGCTACTCTCTCAAATCCTCCAGGGACAAGACTTGGGCTCTCAACAGCATACTGGGTATGCCAGCCTACAAATGTATGGCCCACAACTAGCTAGCACTGCAAAACTGTGATAAGGACAGTGGGGAATGAGGGAGGGGACATAATGAATAGATGTCTCCAAAGGGCAACATGGAACATCAGCTTTAGAAGTCATCTCCCTTTCCCCTTTAACACTGAAGCAGAATTGGGTAAACTGGGCTGCATTCTCCACAGCTTCAAAGAATCAGAGGTGATCTCATTGAAAACTACAAAATAGTTATAAAGGAATTGACAAGATAGATCCAAGGAAGATGGGGAGCATGGAATCTGGGGCCACAATTTAAAAATAAAGGAATGCCATTTAGGACTGAGACTAGGAGTTTTTTATTTTACTCAGAGGGTTGAGAATCTTTGGAATTCTCTACTCGGGGGTGGCGGAGGCTTAATCATCAATTAATGTTTAAAGATTAATAGATTTCTAGCATCAAATCTTATTGGGCTCATGTGGGTAAAAGGCACTGAAGTATTTGATCAGCCATGATGGTATTAAATGGTGGAGCAGGCCTGATGGACTAGATGTCCTACAGCACATTCTTATACCTGTCAGCTTGCAGAAGGAGATTTGCCACTCATATCACCATACCAAACAATTGCAAAGCTAGAGTTCAGACATTTTGAAATATTAATATTTCAAATGTAAATGTAAATGATGACCATGGAATACATGTGCTTTTTTCTGCATGAATTATTATTTACTTTTACAAAACCAGAGAATCTGTCTTGCAGTTCAGCTTTATTCACATGCCTCTTCACCTCACCCTCCTCTGCTGAATTTGTGGTACCTATTTTTATCCATCACAGCTCAAATCAACATACTAAAATCAAAAATAATTTTAACATTTGACTTCCTAATACTGCCTCCAATTTTTGTGAATGATATGTTCCTACACGGAGTCTCATTTGGCCACAGAGACAGCATTCTAGCAAGTTACTTAATCCACGTCATGCAATCCAATATGCTGCAACTTAATCTTCCCAATTGTGACGGTTTCCTCTATGAAAGTCATCACGGTCTTGCCAGACCATAGGGCTGCTCTCTCGTTAGAGAGGTGAACAGACAGGTTGAGGAGAATCCTTTGTGATAACCTCAGCTGGTCTGAGAATTTAACCCATGCTATTAGCATCACTCTGTATTGCTATCCAGCCAACTAAGCTAACTGATACTCTCCATCCTCCTGCTACTGTTGTTTACCCAGTTATTGAAGCTAAAACGTTGCTTCTTCCAGGGAAAAGAAACCCATTTAGCATTCACGCAGCTTCAAGTTCAGAAGTTTGCTTATGAATCAACTTTGGCAATCTTCCAAACAAACACACACAAAAAAGCTTCTACTCCATCAGAGATGGGAAGTCAGCTGCAGTAAAAGGAGCGATGTAAGTGTTCTTTTAAAAAAGAAACTCACATCAGAGTCTCTTACCTCTGGTTAAGAATGTCACTATGGAGGCTCCGGATATGGGTTAACAAGACCTCCTGGCAAAAGACTGTTGCAGTGTGGAGAACCAGCAGAGCTACAAACTTTAAAAACGGCAATGGTCCCTTTGCTCCATATCCCCCCACCACTAACCATACCCCACTCATCAGCACCAAACCCCACCATCAATATTCTGGTTTAACAATCAGAACTAAAACATTCTCCTGAATTTTGCCAGGTGCATCCCTCCTTGCCAGATTACACTGTGTTCACCCTATGTTTCCCAACTCCACGACCTACTGTATGTCTCACGTGACTTGTATTTTTATATTGGATTCCCGCTTGACTTACATCTGAGTGGCAACCAGTTCTCTACAAACCAAAAATTGGTATTTGTACACACCAGGTTATAAAGACTACTCCTAGGTATTGGCTCAATACATGGCTACAAGACAGTGAAAACGACTATATGACGGTGCTCCTTTACAGTAGTGGAGTTGAACCACTTTAATGTTTCAACTGTAAGGTTTAAATACAGCAGGACATCTGAATTTTCTGATCTTCTAATAACACCCATGCACCACAAAATCATCATACTCGCCCTACAAAACAAAGAAAAAAAGAATGAGGCAAAAACATTAATAAAAGCAGAACATTTGTGAAAGGTTACTTCATTGAATTGCAGTTAATATCTCAGAAACAGCCATTCGGTCCATCAACTCTGCACTGGTGTTCTTCTACTATATACCACTTGGTCCAATCTCAGTCACTTTCTAACTTTTACTATCCCTTGTTTATCAGTAACTGCTTTAATTCATTTTCAGAGTAATCCTGTGGATGCAGGGATTTTTGTTATGAGAAGAGGTTTTGTACATTGGGCCTATACTATTGACGTTTACAAGAATGAAAGGAGACTTTGTTGAAAAGTAAAATAATCTTGGATGGCTTTACAAGGTCAACACAGATTTTTTTTCCCCTTATGGGAGAGTCTAGGACCGGATGGCATTATCTCAGAGTAAGGGGTCATCCTTTTGAGGCAGAAATGAGAAGGAACTTCTTCTCTCAGGTGGTAGTGAATCTGTGAAGTTCTTTACAACAGTGGGCTGTAAAGGCAGGGCTATTAAGAGTATTCAAGGTTGAATCAGACAGATTTCTAATCAAGAGTTATAGGGAAAAGGCAGGAAAGATTGGATGCGAGTTCAGTTACAGGCAACAGCCTTTGATTATCTCAAGTTTACAGACAAATTGTTTCTACTAGAAAGGGGAACAGTAACCAGAGAACACAGATTTAACATAATTAGCAAAAGAGTCAAAGGGATGAAGAAACTTTTCTTAAAAAAAGTTATGTTATAATGTGCTAGGATGAACTGCCTTAAAGGCTGGTGAAAGCAGGTATTGTATTGAGTCAGAATTGCATAGTACAGAAACAGGCCCTTTGGTCTAATTTGTCCATGCCAAACAGGTATCCTAAATTAATCTAGTCCCATTTGCTAGCATTTGGCCCATATTCCTTGAAACCTTTCCCACTCATATACCTATCCAGATGCCTTTTAAATGTTGTAATTGTACCAGCCTCCACCACATCCTCTGGCAGCTCATTCCACACATGCACCACCCTCTATGTGAACGAGTTGCCCCTTAGGCCCTTTTATATCTTTCCCCCTCTCACCTTAAACCTATGCCCTCTAGTTCTGAACTCCTCTACCCTAGGAAAAGACCTCGGCTGTTCACCTTATCCACACCCCTCATGATTTTATAAATCTCTATAAGGTCACCTCTCAGCCTCCAACACTCCAGCGAAAATAGCCCCAGCCCATTCAGCATGTCCCTATAACTCAAACCCTCCAAGCCCGGCAACATCCTTGTACATCTTTTCCACACCCTTTCAAGTTTAACAACATCCTTCCTATAGAAGGCAGACCAGAATTAAAAACAACTTTCAAGGTCAATTTTATATGTAAAAGGAAACAAAATGCGTGAGGGCTACAGGAAAAGAACAGGATGGCAGAACTAATTTGTTATTTTTTTCAAAGAGAAAGCAACAGGCTGACAGGCCAAGTGGCCTCCTTCAGAGATTCTATGGTGTACGTAGGCTTTTAGACCAGAGAACACATATTTAACCCCTAATCTGTTAGCTGAAGACAAGTAAGGCTCTACAATTGAGAGGAAAAATAAGGTAAGATCATTGCCGCTGATCGTTATTTGGTGAACATTGGTACAGTAACATTTTTGAACAATGTCACAGGTAGGTCCAGCTTTGACTTGACTTGCAATGTTCCCAATTGCTAAACACACTGACAATATCCAGTCTAGTCTCAGGTATGAAGAATGGGAACCACAGAACATGCTTTCAATTTGAGGTATAGAGAAAAAAAAATTCCATCACTAGAACATTTAATTTCACCTAGGTAAATCCATTTTTAAAAAAAATTAACCTATTTTTCTAATCAACCTGTTCAGAGACGTCATTACACACCTCTGCAGCAGATGAGACTCAAACCCAGATGTCTTGGTCCATGAGTTGGGACACTACCATTGCATCACAAGAAGTCTTAATCCATTTTTGTTAAATGCCTGAGAGGCATAGACAACAAAGAGACCACTGATAAATCAAATGCATTTGAAATGTGATTTACAGAATCTTCTGTATATCTTACACAGAATAAAAAGACCTCCAATGAGGATTTTTAAGAAAAAAATCATTCAAGGATGAAGGCATGGCCAGCTAAGACAGCATTTATTGCCCATTCCTAATTGCTCAAGAGGGTAGTTGAGTCAACCACATTGCTATGTAGGCCAGACCAGGACAGTTTCCTTCCCTAAAGGACATTAGTGAACTAGATGGGTTTTCCCGAGAATCGGCAATGGATTCATAGGCATAATTCGACTCTTAACTCCAGATTTTTATTTAATTCAAACTCTACAATCTGCTGTGACAGGATCTGAACCTGGATCTCTGGATTAATAGCCCAGTGATAATACAACTAGGCAGTAGCCTCCCACGTTGGAAATAGTTGGAGAAAAGATCAAATTAGTGCATAACATCAAAGACATGAAGATACAATATTCTGGTAACATCATTAAAGCCAACAACAAAAGTTACCATACTTCCAGTGGACCATATGGCTGCTCAAACGGTAGGCACTAACAGATAGTGGTAGCAAAGATGAATTAAAATTTATAGAGGAACTAAGAGAAGAGGAAATGGATAACATATACAATGGACTAGTTGCAGGTGGCCTATGTGGAACGTGTAAGCACAGCACAGGCCAAAGGTGGAGATCTATAGCAGACAACTTTCTGGAAAGGTGAGACCAAGAAATAAACAAAATTCAGTTTATAATTAGAAAATTCCTCTTTAATTGAAGTTGCATGCATCTCCTTATGTCACCACAGCCAAGCTACCTCCTATTCACATGCTGAGCTTTAGACGAGGTTTCTTTTTATCAGCTTTACCTACCATGCCATCTTCATCAATTTCGTCACTCTCTTCCGACTCCTCATCTGTATCTGGCTCTGAAGAACCATAGTCTCTGAGCATCTGTGTTATGCTCCAATTAGGCCTGCACAGAGCCAGACAAATTGGTGTATAGCCATTGTACATCTGAGCGTGAACATCTGCGCACCAGTCCAGCAAGAGTTTGACAATTTGCTGATTTTGTTCCTCCACTGCCAGATGTAAAGCAGTTCGGCCCGCAGACCTCTCCTAAAGGGAGAGATCGAGAGAAAAGGTTTTATTGACCCAATGCAATACAAGCGGGTAACAATCTTCTTAGTTCATGGAGTTCCATAGTTTCAAAGAATTTCTCATTCATTCTCAATGTATACAATAACACACATTCAAAAATTTAGCAATTGCCACCCATGCATCATTCCTCAGAAACATTCTGAAGTCCTTTACAATAACTGAAAAGGAAACGATGACAGGTAGCAGTACATCATTCTGAATGTTGTCATGGGTGCAAAAATGGCAACAGTTTTGAACACAAGAAGATAGCGCAAATGGGCATAAATTAATGGGTTTGAAACACTTGAATGATCTTTTGGGGTGCAGAGAAAGTCGGACATCAGTGAGACCACAGCTGCTGATACTGTGCTCAATACTGGTCTCCTTATTAAGGGAAAATTATATGTATGTTAAAGGCAGTTCAGAGAAGATTTACCAAGCTAAAACCAGGAATGTGCAATCTCCTCCCGCTTCTGACGTATATGATCAAATTTTTGTTTTTACTGGCACTCCCATGAGACACAAGTGAGGGGTTGTGGTGGAGAGACATTTGGTGCACTAGGGCAAAATCTGCTAAGGACAGGGAACAAGGAGAAATGAGCTAAGAGGCCTCTTCAATGCAATTAGCAAAAAGAATGAACTACTTTGAAACACAATCATTGTTATTAAGTAGCCAAACACAACAGCAATTTTGTATAGAGTAGACTAATAAGAAACCAATCATCCAGTTAATCAGGAGTAACAATGTGTAGAGCTGGATGAACACAGCAGGCCAAGCAGCATCAGAGGAGCAGGAAAGCTGACGTTTCGGGTCTGGACCCTTCTTCAGTTAATCAGTTTTTTTTGGGAGCAGCTATTGGTTGAATTAGATGGGCACGTTGTGCTCTTGTTCTCATTTTTCTCTCTTGGATAAACCCATGGCACCTTTAATATTCTCTTTATGGTCTGTGCTCTGCTTCTGCATCGCAGCCATTTAGAGGACAACAAAGTGAGGTCTCAGTGTAGACTGTGGGAGGGGAGAATCCTAAACGGGAGTAGGTGGGGGACAAAAAAAATCAGTTTTATAACGGGGGCAGTCCCCTTCTGTTTAATACAAATCAAAAGAGAAACCAAAGCTTTTGCAGCTCTGCAGGTGGGCTCAAAAGCTTGGTCTCAATTTTGAGCAAATGAAGAGTACTTGCCTTTGCATTTATTTCAACTTTAGATTGCAAAAGATATTCAACGATACGAACATCATTGACCTTGACAGCCAAGTGCAAGGGCGTGAATCCTACAAAAAGAGGTAAACCCATTAGTTCAATATTTGATACTTGTTAAAATAAAAATTCTCTTTGATTTTGTATTTAATAATTCTCTTTTCTCCCTCCAGTTTTCTAAAGGTGCTGATTCCTTACTGTGATGGGTACAAGGTTTTAGGAGTACTGTATGTCCCAACGACCCTTGTCAAATGGAAGTTGAATGAGAGGTTTAATGCAGGAAATTTCATAAGACGTATGATCAGAAGTAGGCCATTCAATCCATTGCTCTGCTCTGCCATTCAGTAAGATCATGGCTGATCTGATAATCCTCAACTCTACTTTTCTTCCTTATCCACATAACCATTGATTCCCTCACTGATTAGAAATCTGTCTACCTCAGCCTTGGATATACTTAATGACACAGAATTCCAGATACATTACCCTCAGAGAAACTATTCATGCACGCCTCTGCCTGCAATGTGTGACCCCTTATTCTGAGATTACGCCCTCTGGTCCTAGACTTTCCCACATCTACCCTGTGAAGTCCCCTAGGAATCCTGAATGTTTCAATAAGGTCTCCTTTTATTCTTCTGATCTCCAGTAAGTACAGGCCCAACTCACTCAACCTCTCTATATAAGAAAATCCTCCTAAAATCTGGATCAACCTAGTGAACATTCTTTGGTTGTCTCAAATGCCAGTACATCTTTCCTTAGATTAAAAGAGTTCAAAACTATTCACAGTACTCCAGTCGTGGTCTAACTAGCGCCTTGTATAGTTTTAGCAAGACTTCCCTGTTTTATACTCCATTCCCTTTGAAATAAAGGACAACATTCCATTCACCTTCCTTATAACCTGCTGAACTTGGATGCTAACTATTTATGATTTATGAAAGAGGACTCCCAAATCATTCAAGATTGTAACACATTCTCTACGTACATAATATTCAGCTCCCCTATTCTTCTGCGAAAAGTTCATATTTTCCCACATTATATTCAGCTACCAAATTTCTGCCCAGTCAGTTAACATGCCTATATTCCTCTGCCGATTCTGTACGTCTTCCTCATCATTTGCCTTCCCTTTTTTTTTTGGCAATCGCAAACTTGGCTATAGTAATTTCACTTTCCTCATTCAACTTAGTTATACATATTGCAAACAATTGTGGTTCCAGCACTGATTCCTGAGGCACTCCACTAGTTACAGATTGCCATCCTGAAAATGTCTCCTTTATCCAACTCTGTGTCTTCTATTAGTTAGCCAATCCTCTATCCATGCTAATATATTACCTCCAACATCATGGTCTTAACTTTTTAAAGTGACTTAATGTCTGGTACCTTCTCAAACAGCTTGCAAAAATCCATATTATATCTACAAGCTTCTGCTTTATATATCCTGCTTGTTACGTCCTCAAAGAATATGAAGAAATTTGTCAGGCATGATTTCCCCTTCAAGAAACCATGCTGACTCCGTTTGATCATATCATGTATTTCTAAATGCTCTGTTATTGCATCCTTCATAACAGACCTTAACATTTTTCTAATAATAGCTGATAAGCTAACTGCACTACAGATTCTTTTTTTGCCTCCGTTTTTGAATACAAGTATTACTTTGGGAACTATCCAGTCCGCTGGCATTTTTCCAAAACCTAAGAATTCGTGTAAGATTATGCCCTGTGCTTTCTTTAGCTACCTTTTAATATCTAGTGATTGTTACTGTACTTATTTCTTCTCCCCTTTTTGCTCCTTGATTATATAGTATTTCTGAAATGTTATTCATGTCTTCTAACGTGAAGACGAATGCAAATTACTTATTTATGTTCTCTGCCATTTCCTGGTTCCCTGTTAATATTTCGCAAGCCTCAATTTTTCAGGGGCCTATGTTCACTCTGGCCTCACTCTTTCTTTTTACATATTTAAAGAAGCTCCTGCTTTCCACCTTGACTTTCTTGCACATTTATCCTCAACATTTATTTTCTCGTGTAAACCCTTTGGGTCTCACTGATGTACATTTTCCAGGTGGAGTCACTACACACTGGACACTGTACCCCTCTGAAACCTAGATCTATCAAAGCCAATACCAAAGCTCCAATCGAAACAGTTAACTCAGCTCTGAATCAAACATTCAGGTCTAACTGGCTAATTTGCACAATTCCTTTGCACATCAAGGGGCCCCGTTCTTTTTATTATCTTGTTAATACCTATTTGCTCTTCTAACCAGAAAAATGCCTTCTAACCAGAATGTAATTTATCAATATTAACTTTTTAAAGACTCTACCTTTATAGTTGTAGCAATTCAGCTGCTGTGAGACTTGGGATGGGTCAAAGAGACCGGAATTCCTTAGACCATGAACATGATGAAACAGGAGAGCTTGAACACAGCTGGTGGCTCTTTCCATGCACGCTAGGTGTAAGGCAGTGTTCCCATCCTTCTCTTGCAGCAAGAGGTTTGCCCCGGCAGCCACCAACCTCTCCACAAAATCAGCACGCCTAATGATCACAGCCAAATGCAGTGCTGTCTGCAAGAGATGGTGGAGGAAAATATATCAGATTGTTTTTGGAGACAGCAGCATGGGGTGCAAAGGGGAAATTTATGCTCCTAATATAGTAGGAAAATAATAAGCAAGGTGCAATACACAAATAATAAAGGGATGTTACAAGGAAACAATCTAACCAAATGTTTGAATAGCAACAAATAACAGTAGCAATTAATGCCTTATCTCTCAAACAAAAGCAGAAATTGCTACAGAAACTCAGCAGGTCTGGCAGCATCTACAGAAATTATGCAGAGTTAACATTTTGGGTGCAGTCCTACTCACCTGGTTCAAGTCATTCTGCAGGTTCAGGTATTCAGCATCCTTTATATAACAGAGAATAGTGACGAAAAAGTTGACTTTCTCATGGATGACAGAAAGGTGCAGTGCCCTATTAAAAAAGAAGATTCATACATGTTAGTCAATTTCCCATGATATTCACACAATTGCTTTATTCAAAAATAAGTAAACACAGCACAACTCTTTGAAGCAATCATACTTATACTGTGCCATGAATTTTTTTGTTTCTTTCCTTGGTATGCAAATGACACGAGCAAACCCAACAATTGTGGCTCATCCATAACTGCTCTACAGAAGACAGCGGTGAGCCACAAATGAATTGGGGTATGACAGTGAAGATGTGTCACTGCAATTATGTAGAACCTTGGTGAGACCTACACCTGAAGTATTGTATACAGATTTCAGCTTTTTACTGAAGGAAGGCCAGACCTGCCTACAGGACATTGCAAGAAAGAATCACTTGAATGGGTTAAGCAAAATGTCTGAAGAGACTGACTAGATTAGGCTGTATTCCTAGAATTAAGAAGAATGACATGATATATTGTGTGAAATTCTTAATGGGTTTGACAGGATGCTCCACTTGGATAGGGAGTCTAGAATAAGGGCTCACAGACCCAAAAGAAGGAAGGCTACTATTTTAGGACTGAGATGAGGAGGAATTTCTTTACACATAGGATTGTGAACTTTTAGGATTTTTTACCCCAGAGGATTGTTAATCCTTAGTTTGTAGTACAATTAAGACAGAACACAACAGGCTTTTGGATACCCTAGAAATTAAGGGATATGTGAAAGTACAGAAAGATTGAAATAGAAGAGCAACCATGATTGTATTGAGTGACAGAACATGACCAAATGATCAAGTCTAGTCACTTTTTTTTCTAACAACCTGACTGAATGGAAAATAGCAAACAGTCTAAACGGTTGAATTAAACTATTACGAATCTTCCACCAACCATGGAAGTTGTCAGACCTTGTCATCTCCCTCCAAAATTATTAGAAGAATTTTCCAGTGTGAGAAATATGGGTCGATGTCAAGTGATATGTCTGTTCAATTTCAAGACAACTACCAGCTAGCAAAACATGTATTAATGTGGCAAATCAATGTTGAAAAATTACAAAGGTGCAAAGATATATGCAAATAAATCCCATAATATGTTTGAACTGAGTTTCCTAGTCCCTTCCTCAGACATCTGGTGGGCAAAATGACTAATTTAGAAACGACTGAACTGAACCAAATCGGCACTTTTCTGAGATTGAAGTTGGCAATTAATCACACACCACACAGAACTGGCGCAGACAATTAACATTAAGATGAAAATGCCTCAATTTTGTCACAGAGTCTGGCTCAACCTTCACTTAGAAGCAGATGGGCCTCTGTTTAACACTGTATCCAGGACAGTGTAACTTTGATGCAGCATGCCTTCAGGGCTGCAGGGAAGTGTCAAGTTTTGGTCAAGAACTCAAGTTCTTTGAGTGGTGTTTGACCCCAAAATCTTTGGCTCAGAAATTAAAAATACCACCACGAGCCAATCAGACATGCTTGACTTTGCTGCAAGAAACCCACTTAGCCAAATAGACTCAGATTATTACACAAATGAACCACAAATTAACTTGTACAAAAACTAACTCCTTACCGTCTTCCTCAACTTCCTTCAAAATTTGTTTTTGTCACTGATCTACACTTCAATAATGATATTAGCATTTTCAAAAAATAAGCAAAGAAAAGCTCCATTTAATCTCCCTCCCTTCCCCACTATAACAACTTGCATTGTATCTTTTGCCATAGAAAGTATCTCAAGGCATTTTGCACAGAAATTAAAGAAACAAATGCCGAGTAGTTAGAAGAGATGACTGAATGCAGAGACATTAAAAAATTAAAGTTTGAGGCGGCTTTTAAAGGGTGGAAAATTAGCAAAAGTTGGATGGAGAGGGAATGCTTAGGAATTAAAGGAAGTGTGGTGAACGTAGGTATAGAGGTATGCTGAAAGGATGACAATGCCTAGAAGACAAGAAAAAGAAGGTCACAGGACACTTGGAAGTGGTTGGGCTGGAGAAGGCTGCTGAGGCAGGGTGATGCACCACCACAAAAATTTGCAAATGATGCCAAGAATAGTGAACTCAATGCACTTAAAGTCATGAGGCACTCATCATGGACAGTGGTGTTTTGAAAGAGTGCAAGGTGTGCAGAATGAGGACTGTAAGTTAGGTGAAGCATTACAGAAGTCAATAAAATAAACATATGTGGAACACAATCCACCAGTTCCCCTAAAAGTGACACATCATCTAACCTGGGACTATATTATCATGCCTTCACTATCACTGGGTCAGTAACCCAGATTTCCTCCCAAACAGTACCATGGCTGCATGACCTTATGGGCATATAGGAGAAGGCGACAAATTCCCATCTGGTCAAAGTTCATATCTCCAAAAATAAAGCTTCAAAAATTAGTCGAGAGATCAACAGCTGTTTGACTGTTGCTAAAATAGATGCTTCCTTGAGCGCCATTACCTGAAAATCTCCTAATCCTACTGCATGTGCAACAAAAAGTAGTTGATTGACCTTTAAGATATAATAATTAATGTCTCATTGTTTAGCAGAGCACAAGCACAAAAACAGGAAAGTAGTGACACGTTGTGCCAGTCATTTGATGTAGATAGCATTTGGTGCTAAATATAAGCACTGGGACTATCCAACATGATTCGCACAAAACTTGTCAGGAGTTCAGATTTGTCCAATATGTCAGCATCAAGGCAGTACACAAGGTTAAACCCTGGACTGCATCAAATTAACTCACAGGGAAAGCATAAGAATTGCTTTCAGTGCCACTGGGAAAAGAAAAGTAAGAAAAAAGGTATGGCTTCTGTTCCCGATTGTTGGCACATGCTTCTCATCGAGAAATACAATTATACAGGCAATCAGGAGAAGGATCAAGTTTAGATGCACACTTCAAGGTCAGAGTACTTTGCCATTGCTTCCTGTTCAAAATGGTGAGAAAAAGACATTTGAATGAATGGACAGAGTTCTGGAGGAACAGTATCCTGGCTTAAGTAGATTTCAAGGAAAGACAAGAGAAAATTGGAGCAGGGAAGATGGGGAATTCCTTCCTTGGGTGCATCGCGATATTAACCGTAGATAAATGATTAACTGCAATCTCTCCAGAAGGAATAATGTCCATAAAGTGATTAAAAAGCCAGCTATATACTGAGAATTTATCTAATGCCGGGAAATTCCTGGACTATTCCTGCATTCTGAGTTACTGCAACTGACACGTCCTGTCAAGATAAACATTCTCATTGACTCCATGAACAAAACAGACATTGTTTGTCTATTTAATCCTTTTCTTTAAGCATGGATCGCAAATTATAATCAAAATACCTCAATGATTAAAAACAGCTCTGACTAAACATTACATCACATTAGGTGCAATGAATTTGAACAGAGGGGAGAGAAACATTAAGGGTGTTCGTTGGTGGTATTTGATGAGGTAGGAGATCTACCTGGGGTGAACACATCATTTGACAGTACTCATGATCCTATGAAGATCTACATCTGTGCCGTTTGGTACGATGTGTTAAATACAAAACATGATTTAGCACAAAGCATAGATGTAAAAAAGGAAGCACTTGCTTTGGCCACGTAGAAACACATATTTGAAAAGGATTCTATCACTTGATATCACACACAGAAGAAATTGTCTACTCAGACAGTATCCTAACATTGCTATTGAGCTGAATATTCTAACCTTTGTCCAGCGGCAAATCAGCAGGAACTAAAAAGAACGTTGGAACTGGAGGGCATGATTATCAACATTTTGAATAAAATTTAGTTGCGTGCAGCAGGGCTTTTCAGTGTCTAGTTCCTTTTTTTCCATAAACTCACATATATATTTCTTACAGAGTGAGGTCTGCAAGTCAGCTCACTCAACAGGTCAGTGGGAACAGAAGCTTAGGGAGTTTTTTGGGGGATGGGTGGGGGGCAGCTACATACAGAAAAACGTACCAAGGGGGTGATTTTAACTCCTCCATGCTGGTAGTGTTTTGTTAAAATTGAGCAGGTGGATATGACTCCCTTTACACCTGCCCCATTTCATCTTTGCCCAATTTCCAAATGGCAGATGTTTCTGCTGCAGGCAAGCCTGAGAAACATCCAACTAAAGGGTCCAATGGCAACATTTGGGTCTTGATCTGAAGTTAAGATACAAATGCATAACGTAGTGCTTTATGTGGACAGCGATTAGAGCAGGAGAGGCCCAGATCAGTGTAATGTCACATTTTTATTTATGTTTTCACTTGGAATTTTTTCCCTCAATGAAGTAACAGTGGTAACAGCAGCCTTTTCCAAATTTTCAGAGTAACAAAGTCAATGGAAATCAAATTAGTAAGCAGCATACATGTATAAAGAAAACAGGGGGTCCTCAATAACTGGATTTGAGAGCAAGTTTAAGACTGGAGTTAGAGGATACTTTTCTCTCAGAGGATAGTGAGTCTGTGGAATTCTTTCCCACAGAGGGCTGCTGAGACTGTTCTTAAGTGCATTCAAGGAACAGATATATTTCTAATCAGTAAGGGAAACAAGCATATAAGAGGTTACAGCAGGAAAGTGGAAATGAGAATTTTAGTCAAATAAAAGCAAATTATCACATATGTTGGAAATCATACATAAAACGAAAAGTGCTGGAGAAACTCAGCAAGTCAGGCAACATCTGCAGCATCAGCTCTAAAGAAGAGTGATACTGATCTTAACTTTTTTTTATCTACAGATGTTGACAGACTTGCTGAGTTTCTCCAGCACTTTCTATATCAGATCAGCCATGATTTCACAATTGGCAGAGCAATTGGATGGGCCAAATATCCTACTTTTGTTCCTATGTCTATCATCAGATGCTGCTGTTGGAAAACTCCAGCACTAAATGGAAAGCAGACTAGCTATGACAAATTGCTGCAATTGTGTATTTTTGTGCACCACAGGTAATAATAAGGGAATTTCTAAGTTTCTACAGATATGAGAGACTAAATAAACATTATAGTGGCTCAAGGGCGGCAGCTGGAAGAAACATATTTAGGATCTGACATTTGATATTAGCTATAATTATATGACATTCCTGTCACAATTTTCTCACTTTCGTCTGTGATGTTTTTATGTACAGTTGGAAAATGCTCACATGCCACAAGGTAGCACACAATTCTAATCCCTCCCTCATGCACACCCTGGATTTTGTCTTCATGAGATACGCAGGTAGGCTTGGAGCCTCATAGGCCACGGCTATGCTTTGTTATCAGGCTTACTGAACACAGAAACAAAAAAAGTCATGCTGAAACTTTATTCATTATTGGTTAAGTGCCATTTGCAGGATAGTGTTGAATTCTTGGCATCTGTTAAGAAATGTGTCAAAACCTTGGAGAGGGTTCAAAGGATGTTAACCAATGTGACAGCAGTGATGAATGACTAGGGAAGAGAAGGTGAGGGGAGGCTGATCGCTTTGAAGAGTGAAAGACTTAAATTCAGTCAAAATTATAATTACTCTGTAAACATTATCGTTATAGTGGACTATTTAGATAAGAATCTAATGATGTCCATGAATCCATTGTCGATTGTCGGAAAAACCCACCTGTTTCACTCATGTCCCTTAGGGAAGGAAACTGCCATCCTTACCTGGTCTGGCCTACATGTGACTGCAGACCCACAGCAATGTGGTTGACTCTTAACCGCCCTCTGGGCAATTACGGATGGGCAATAAATGCTGCCTAGCCAGCAACGCCCTGATCCCATTAATGAATGAAGGATTAAAGGAATAAAGGAGTTATCGTTCAGCTGAACACAGAACTTTAAATGTTCGCCATCTGATTTTCCTTAAATACACAATGGTTCACATTTCAAAAGTACTTCACCAAGTACAAGTGATACAGGCAAGGAAACTAGGAGACTACAGTCAGAAAGGAGGCCTCAAAAATCAAGCAAAAATATTGAGAAAATTACCATCGTCAACAATACTATTCATCCTGATTGTTATTGCTGCCTTTACAACGTGATGGTTTTTCAGCGTGAAATAGTGGATTTCCCTTTATATGGCCCACAGAAGCCAGGTGTAGGTTGAGAATCCCACAGTACATCAGTCATACTCTGGTTATCAGGAGTTGCATTTGGGGTTTGTCAAGTGGTACAAAATAGAAATTCTGATCAAGGCATCAACAAGAAGTATGAGAGAAAGTTGGTGACCAAATGAGTAGGGTTTGCCAAACTTAAGGAAATGTCACATGTTAATAGTTCCCTCATTGCATTCAACAAAGCTAAGGTTTACGTTGATATAGCTTGTTAATTATGGTCTCTCAAAAGAGTGCAAAGCCTTGCACATTCCTTTCCACAAAAATTATGCACAGAAAATCTAGGTTGACAATTCAGTGCAGAACTAAGGGGGTGCAACACCATCAGAGATTCCATCTTTCTGATAAACTATTATACCAAGTCCCTAACTGCTTCCCCAACAGTGAGCATGTACAAGATCCAGGGAACTACTTTGAAGAAGCACAGGCGAGTTCATTTCAGTGACAAAAACAGAAGTTGCTGGAAAAGCTCAGCAGGTCTGGCAGCATCTGTGAAGAAAAAGTCAGAGTTAACATTTCAGGTCCGGTGATCCTTTCTCAGAACAGTTCTGAGGAAGGGTCACTGGACCTGCAACATTAACTCTGATTATTTTCTTCACAGATGCTGCCAGACCTGCTAAGCTTTTCCAGCAAATTCTATCTACGTTCCTGATTTACAGCATCTTCAGTTCTTTTGGTTTTTATTGAGTTCATTTCAATGTCCTAATATGTTGCCTTCCACAAATGTCACTAAAGCATATAATGAAGTCATCATCTCACTGTTGTTTGTGGGAGCTTGCTGCGTGCAAATTAGCTCAATCTTTCCTACAATATGACAGATAATACATGTCACAATGCACTTAATTGATTATAAAACACTTTAGGATGTCCCATGGTCATGAAAGGTGCTATACATATAAGAAACTATGTATATATGTAACCTTAAATTTCAGCGTTCAGGGGGGAGGCCAATTATGTCTATGGTGGCATTTGCACATCACTTGGAGCTATCCAATCAGTGCTTTTTGGAGAAACGTCCTGCCATTTTGCCGATATAATAACACTTTAAATATAATCTACGAGCCGAGAATTTTGATGGGATGCATTGAGGACATGAGAAGTTGCTATATAAATACAAGTCTGTTCTTTATTTTATTACCTCATCACCCTGCAGAACTTGACCAAAAACAACTGCCTTGATAATCAAAAGACCAAAATAAGGCAAATTCCTCATCGAGCTAAACAAGGTGATATTTGGAAAAAAGCTCAGGCAAACATCTATGTTTTAAGAGACGCTTTAAAAAAAGGAAACAGAAGGAGAGTAATGGAGGGGTTTAGGGAGGAAATTCCAGAGATTAGGGTCATGGCTGCTAATGGAAGAATGATTTTGGAGCAGGGTTTTCTGTGTATCAGGTTATTTGAATCTCTGCAGTATTCTGTTTTAAAACTGATTTAATGTGAATGTGGCACTCCTCAAGACAAGGGATGTTTAAATTCCGGTAAATTTGCGCAGTCAAGGTGAGTTTTAACTACTCCAGAAAATATGAATGCAGGGTCAAGCTCCTCTACTCTGCCCAGAAACATGTCTGAGTCCCAAGACCACTTCCAACTGCACTACAGTGACATTTCTGCGAGAGTCAATTTGCAGCCTCTACAAATGAGATTTTCAAAGGGAAGTTTGGTGCTGTGGACCTAGGAGAGTGTTAAACTGAGACTGCCACATTTCACATAGGATCACTTTCAGCCACAGCGATTAATTCAAACCCAGGTCACAGAGATGAAAGAAAAGACAGTGTTTAATTCACCACATCATGTAATAATTTTTAAAATGCTTTTTACTCAGTCACAGGAATGTGGGCATTGCTGGCTGGCCAGCATTTATTGCCCATATCTAGTTGCCATTGAGAACATGGTGTTGGGGCTGCCTCCTTGAACTGCTGCAATCCGTTTAATAATAATTGTCTTTAAAAAAAACTTCCTTTGAACGTTAAATTGTATATAAAGGTATTGTACATCAGAAAATAAAAATTCTATTTGGGTTGAGTGTTAGAGATAGGACTGCCTCCAGGAATATACTGAGAGGGGAATTAAGCAACTTCGATTTCTTTCATCACCTCAGATTTCAAAGCACCGTATGGAAACTTTCAAAGGGTAGTCACTGTATAATAGAGGACAATGCTGCAGGCATTTTACGCACAGCAAGATCCCACAAAATAAACAATGGCCAGATGATCTTTTCCCTTGGTGGCAACATTGGCAGAGGAAATAAAGTTGACTAGGTCACTACAGGGGACACTTCATGTTCTTCCTCCAAACAGCACCATAAAATCCTTGAGTTAGCATCTCATCCAAAAGATGATACACCTCTGACAGTGCAATGCCCTCTCAGTTCTGCAATGGGAATGTCAAACCTGATTCTTGTGCTCAAGTCTTTGGAGTGAGGCTTAAATGCACCATCTTCTGATTAAGCGACACGTCTTTGAAATAGTGCCAGTATTTTTTTATATTCACCAGACAGGTTTAATGACCTCATCTGAAAGTTGACATGGATTGTTGTTGGTACTGGGCAAAGCAACACATGGGCTGAAGGTGTATTTCCGCATCTGTACTTGGGAATGATGGAGCCAAGTCAACCCATACCCCCATGCCCACCCACAGTTGACACTTTATTACCCCCTCATGCAAGCGATACTCACGAGTCCAAGTCTTCGGTTCGGTAGTGGCGCAATTCCTTCAACTCATTCACTGCTTCTTGGGAACTGCCCAGCTCCATTCCCTGGGTGATCTGACCAGTGCCACTCAGTTTCACATCCTCGATGCCCTGGGTGATCTGGCCAACGCCAGTCTCTGCCCACTGCTGGGTGGATAAGCAAATGTCTGGCTCAGTGCCCATGGACATGCCATCCTTGCCCTCCCCACCATCAACACTCTGGTCAACGCCACCCAACTCATTGAACTGCCTGACCTGCAGCTCACTGAGGGAGCCAATGCCACTGTCGTAGTAGTCATCGCCCTCTACCTCAGCGGGTAACCCTAGGCTGTCCAACTTGGCCTGGCCACCCCACGGCGCGGCCACTTTACCAGTGCCCAGCTTGATCGTCTGTTTGGATGCGTTGCCATTTGACAGCTGCGGGACAACCTCCATGTTTTTTTTCCGGACTCCCGCCGTGATAATGAAAATCGATCTTGAACACGATTCTAAAGGACGCGGCTCGACTCATCAGCGAAATTTATGAGGTAAACCCGCCATCCCTCTCGCCGCGGAGCAGCAGCTTTAATGGGAATGTGAAAGAAAGACACGGAGGTGAAACGGACTCTTCACCAAAAATGGCCGACGCCTTGTTTACCCTTTTGTCTGGAGGGAATTTCCCCCGCTAGGCCAGGGACCAATCGAATGGCGCTTTCCTGGCAGGTCTCCGTGAGGGGGACGACGTTGCCCATGCGCAGACGCTGCCCCCGCCGCAATGGCCTGTGGTAGTTGTAGTCCTGGAGATAGCAAGACTGCAGATGCTGGCAGTCAGAAGCGACAAAATGAGGAGCTGGGGGAGCGCAGCAAGTCAGGTAGCATTAGAGGGGTAGGAAAGTCGACGTTTCAGGTCTGGACTCTTCATCAGGACTGTTGTTCGTTATCAACGACAACAACTTGTGCAAATCTCAGGCTGAGGATCTGGAAAGAAAGTAGAAAGTGATGGAGAAACTCAGCGGATCTGGCAGCGTCTGTGGAGGGAGGGAAAGAGTTTTGCTTCTGTTATTCGCTCACGGCAGCGGTTATTGCCCATCCCTAATTGCCCCTGGAATGGACTGGCTTTATAAGGCCGTTGTAGAGAGGGTTAAGAGACAACCCCATTGCTGTGGGTGTGGAGTCACGAACAGGCCAGATCGGTTAAGGACAGGAGATTTCCTTCCCTAAAAGACATGAATGAACCAGATGGGTTTTTATCCAGCAACAGACAGAAATTGCTGGAGAAACTCTGCGGGTCTGGTAGCATCTGTGGAGAGAAAGAGGAGTTAATGCTTACAGTCCAGTGCCTCTCCTTCAGCAGTTTTTTCTGGATACTACAGGCTGGGACTTTACTGGAGTTGAAGGGTGACCTTATAGAGGTTTATAAAATCATGAGGGGCATGGATAAAGTGAATGGCAGGTGTCTTTTTCCTAGGGACGGGGATTTCAAGACTAGGGTCTTTTAAGGTGAGAGAAGAAAGATTTTAAAAAGACATGAGAGCCAAACTTTTTAATCCAGCGAGTGTTTCGTGTGTGGAATGAACCTCCAGAGGAAGTGCTGGATGTGGGTACAGTTACAACGTTTAACAGGAATAAGTACATGAATAAGAAATGTTTGGAGGGATCTTGTTGGGGTATAGTTGGTTAGTTTGGTATTATGGTCGGCATGGACTGGTTGGACCGAAGGTTTTTTTTTTACCTTTATTCATTTGCGGGATGAGGGAGTCGCTGACGAGGCAGCATTTATTGCCCATCCCTAATTGCCCAGAGGGCCGTTAAGAGTCAACCGCATTGCAGTGGGTCTGGAGTCACATGTAGGCCCAGACCAGGTAAAGATGGCTGTTTCCTTTCCCTAAAGGACATTTGTGAACCAGATGGGTTTTTCCACCAAAGAGAATGGATTCATGGTCATCATTAGACTTTTAATTCCAACTATTTATTGAATTCAAATTCCACCATCTGCCGTAGCAGGATTCATTCCCAGGTCCCCAGAAAGTTATCTGGGTCTCTGGATTAACAGTCCAGCAATAATACCACTAGGCCATTGCCTCCATTTTCCATGTTGTATGACTCTATCTTCAGCATCCATGGTTCTTTGTTTTATTTTAGGGTTTTTACAGCAATCCACAATGGTAGTCATTCAGAGATAGTAGGAACTGCAGATGCTGGAGAATCCGAGACAACAAGGTGCAGGGCTGGATGAACACAGCAGGCCAAGCAGCATCATAGGAGCAGAGAGGCTGACGTTTCGGGCCTAGACCCTTCATCAGAAAAGGGGGAGGGGAAGGGGGTTTTTGAAATAAATAGGGAGAGAGTGGGAGGCGGATAGAAGAGGGATAGAGGAGAGGATAGGTGGAGAGGAAACAAACAGGTCGAAGAGGCGGGGATGGAGCCAGTAAAGGCAAGTGCAGGTAGGGAGTTAGGAAGGGGATAGGTCAGTCCAGGGAGGACGGACA